GTGTTAGGATTATGTGGAATTTCATATTGTCATACTATTTTTCATTGAGTAGGTGGAACTTGGGATAATGTCATTTTTTTTTTCGAGATTCGTAAAGTATTTTTAGGATCAAGTTTCATTTCAATTTGTCAAAACTATTTATTTTTAGGATATTGCTATGGTTTTGTTTATTTGTTTATATGTTCTTGGTTTATAGACTTAACAATAATCATATACATCTTTTATTAAGTCTACAAAATTATTTTGTAAAGTTTCAAAACATGTCTTAGCCAAAATGTCAAAATTCATATATTTACATTTTCATGTTTTAGACTATTTTGCAAAATGATGATATTTTACTTTTGGGAAGTCCTTTTTGAAAACCGGTTTTTGTAGCATGCTTATTATCATGTCTACAATCATTTCCCAAAGTTTTATATTTTTCTGAATTTATTTGATATTTTTAAATACAGTTTAAAGTTGAGTTTTTCTGTGCACTTCAGGTCTGTGCATGTTTAGTCGACTCATGAGTCGACTCATAAATCGACTCACGAAGTGCAGCGGAGTTATGATTTTTCTTCTGCCGAGTTGACTCATATAAGCCGACTCATTAGTCGACTCATAAGTCGACTCATTAGTCGACTCATAAGTCGACTCATGAGTCGACTCATAAGTCAACTTATGAAAGAGCCGTTGCACAATAACGGCTAGTTTCTATAAGCAGTATTTTCTAGGGGCTTTTTTGGTCTTTTCCTTGGGGTTTTTGCTAAAGTTTTGAGTGGGTATAAATACCCCATTGCCTTTAGCTCTTCTATAATTCAAGAGAATGTTTTAACAAAATTTTAACAAGGGTTTAAGTTTTGTTTAGTGTTTGTTTAAAAAGCTTTTAAGCAATTGAGGGTTTGAGTTTGTGAATTCAATTCCACAAGAGCTTGCGGAGATCATCTATTAGAGTTTGAGCAATCAACTATTCTCCCTCTATCTCTTGTCATCTATTTAGAAGTTTTCTAAACTCTTTTCTAGCTTTATATTTATTTGTTTGATTATCATCTTATTAAAGCTAGTTTTATATTGAGTTTAGATTTGATTAATCTCATTGTTATACACACCCACTTGAGCTTATTGTATTTACATTCATAATATATTTGGGGTTGTGAGAGATAGTAACATTGAGTTGAGCCTAATTGAGTTCTCACCTTGTTTAGAGAACAATTATTTGTTGTGTGCCTAATTGTGAAGTTCACTTTGTAATACACTTATACACCGAGAGGAGTGTGTGGTGAGGACGGAGTCAATACCGAGAGGAGTGGCGTCAGTGGCCTAGTGAGAGGTGATAATTCTGAGCATTTGAGGGAGTCGATACGTGAGGACCAACACTTGAGGTTGTAGCTTGTGTATGTACTTTGTGAGGATTTGTGAGAGTTGTCGGTTGACTTGATAACCGAGTGTGTAGAGTTTTCGGTTAGCTAGAAAATCGAGTGTGTAGAGAAGTTCCAGCTTCCAAACCGGGTTGTGTAGTGGATTCTCCCCGGGAGTGAGGAGCGAAGACGTAGGACGGAAGGTCCGAACTCCGTGATCATTTCCTTATGTTTGGGTTTGGCATTGACGCATTTATTCTTGCATATTGTTATATCGCCATTGTTGCATGATCATATTGTTTACCCTTGTTTATATTGTATATTCTTGCATATATCTTGTAGCATATCATACTTGCTAGGATATATTTGTTAATTAGTTTTTATTGGCATTTAAATCGGATTAGATTAGGATAAACCCTATTCAACCCCCTCTAGGGTTCTTTCCTAATGGCATTAGGGTCTAACACGAACTTCAAGATATGATGGAGGTTGTCATAGGGACGAACCTCGTCTTAATCAAAGATGAGGCGCGTCATGCAGTGAGATTTGACATCAAAAGACGAAGCTCGTCATTGGATACGAGGTTCGAAGTTCATCATTGGAGGTGAAGCTCGTCAGTGAAGACAAAGCTCATCATCAGACTTAAAGCTCGTCAGTAAAGACGAAGCTCGTCAAAAGGAAGTTCATGAGAATTGCTATGCAGTTGAACCCAGTTGTCGAAGACGGAGTTTGTTAGTGAAGACGAAGTTCGTCAGACGAAGTCAGTGAAGACAAAGTTCGTCAGAAGAAGCTCGCTATACTATAAAGCTTGCCTTATATAACGAACCTCACCGCGTATTGAGGCTCGTCCAATCTGACGAACCTCGCCATGCAGCGAGGCTCGTCGTCTGTAAAAGATCTAGCTGTAACGGATTTGAAGACTTAGTCAGCCACGTGGGCTAAAATTCAGGAGCACGTTACGTCCTATTAACCAACGTGGGCTGAATTAGAGGAGGCAGTTACGCCCTCTACCCACAATTTCTAGCATGTCAGTTACGTGCTACAAACTCTATAAATAGTCATGAGTGGCTATGAAGAAAGGACTTTTGGAGGATTTTTAGCTATCACGTGAAGAGAGATCAGTGTCTGCGTTCTTGTAATCTAAGCCACCATCAGAAGCTTTTGTGATCTTAATCTGATCGTCAATGGGAAGCAATCTCGGCTTGAGTATCGAGAGAAGCACCATTTGGCCACCAAGAACCCACTTTTGAACAAAAGAGAAGTCGGATCAACCTTTTCTTCCTCTGTAACCGAGAGTGAGTGGTTGTAAAAGGTTCTTACTAAGTGACAGAACCATTTCTTAAAACAAAAAAAAATCAATCATCAACTTTTCGACCCTATAGACATGTGGGCCGGACTCGACCCAACCAGCCCTTACACGGGTTGTGAACGGTGGGTCGAGTCCAATCCTAGATCCGTGATCAAAGAAATAAGTCTGGCCCACCAGATCAGACCCGGCCCGGTCTTAAATCCGACAAGCCCAATCACTAGCCTAAACCGGCCTCCATCAACCTTCCCTCGAACACCAAATCCTCCTAAGAGTGAGTGACATCGATGTACGCCGCTCGTCTAAAGAGGTAAATCTATTTGGGACAAATTTTTAAAAACACCAACTTTTAAAAATTAAATAGCAAAAACAACCCTTGTTAAAAAAAATGAGCAAAACCGACCCTTTTCTTCTGAAAAGGGTCGGTTTTACAACGGAAATGATTAAACGAAAGTGCACGGGACTACTAGTCCCATGCACTTCATTCCACGTGACCCACCTCACAAACCGACCCTCCTCCCTTCCTCTTGTTTATATGTTGTCTCTCGCAAAATCCTCACACAAGCTAAACCCAGCTCCCAAAATCCATGGATCTCCTCTTCTCTCTCAATTCACTCTTTTCCCCTCCCTTTTCCCTCCTCTTACTCTTCTTCTACTACCACCACCACCACGCAAAAAGTCCATCTCAAAACAATGGCCTCAAGCCTTACCCCCTCCTAGGAACACTCCCCCACTTCATCTGAAACCCGGCACTGGTTCCTCAAATGGACAGCTAAAATACTCATCGCCAGCCCAACCCACACCATCACCATAAGAAGCCCGACAAACGCCCACGGTGTCATCACCTCCGACCCCTGCAATGTTGAACATATGCTCAAGACCAACTTCAGCAACTACTCGAGAGGCGACCGCTCCATCACCCTCCTCCACGACTTCCTTGGCCACAGCATCTTCAACTAGGAAGGCGATCACTAAAAAAACCAGCGGAAGACCGCGAGTTTCGAGTTCAACAAGCGTAACGTCTGCAGGCTCGCCTTCGGCGTGGACCCAGGGTGTCTGTCAACAGAGGTGGCGGCGGAGGGGTTGGAGTTCATGAGAGTCTTCAGCGAAGCACAGAACCTCATCGCAGCGAGGTTTTATGGGCGTGTTTGGGTTCACTTTGAAGATGAAGAAACTCATCAACATCGGTTCGGAGAAGAGGCTGAAAGAATCGATCAAGATAGTCCAAGACTTTGCGATGAACATCATAAAAACCAAGAAGGCAAAGCTCGAAGAGAATCAAGAGGAAGTGATAGAAGAAGACCTGTTATCTTGATTCGCCTCAAACAAAGACACCACGGAGGAGCTCCTCCGAGACGTGTTAAGATTCATCCTGGCAAGACGAGAGACAACATATAAACAAAAGGGAGGGAGGAGGGTCGGTTTGTGAGGTGGGTCACAGATTATAAGGAATGAAGTGCACGGGACTAGAAGTCCCGTGCACTTCGCTAAATCATACATGCTGTAAAACCGATCCTTTTCAGAAGAAAATGGTCGGTTTTGCTCATTTTTTTGACAAGGGGTCTTTTTTGCTATTTAATTTTTAAAAGTGGGTGCTTTCAAAATTTTGTCCATCTATTTGCGTCTTTTTTCCTTTTTTTTTGTTTGACTTATGTTGATATTTTTTTTAAAAAAAACAATTTTTTTTTTTTTGTTTTAAAATTCTTATTTTTTTTGCTTTTCAGAGTAACTTCGTTTCTAATTAGATGTCTGTCAGATCTTGAAAAATTATACTCTTTCTTATTAGAGTAATTTCCCCCCCTTATGAGATCCAGATTATCTTTCCCCCAAAAATCACTGAAATCCTCAAGGGAGAGGTATGCATGCGTAATTAGAGTAAAAAAATTTTTACCCCTTATGAGATCCAGATTCCTAAGGGTCTAAGGATTCGTCTTTTCCCCAAAAATCACTGAAATCGTCAAGGGAGAGATATGCATGAGTAATTTATTACTGCTGCTTTTAATTTTATTGATTTCATCCTGAATTGTATGTTAATGTTCTCTTTTTAAAATTTCTAAGGTGGCAACCCTCTTAAATCAGTTGTGAGAAAGTTGAGATCTTTTTTCCTGACTAGGATAAAAAAATTCCCCTTATTTTGATTTTCTTTCAAAAAATAAAAAATAAAGTTTAAAGGAGAGGCTGTTGCGTCGCCTATAAAGTGCAGGGTTTGAAGAAGTAGGATGTCTGTGTTCAAATTGATGACACTTTATGGACCGTTGGATTTCATCTAATGGATGATTAGTTTTTCTATTGCGTGTAGGAGAAGGATTTGTTGGAGACTATAAATAAGAAGAGAGAATTAGTTCTCAATCTAATTGCTCTCCTCCTTTTTCATCGCTATTTCTTGTTGAGACAGACAAGTTTTCTAAGCGTCGAGCCAGCTGCAAGCAATTAAACGATTTTGGATAAAAGGTATGAACTGTTTATTGCTTCTGTACTTGGATGTTCATACTTTTTTATGGCCAAAAATTACAAAACCAATAGTAATTGTGAATAATCAAAGGCTGAAGACATCAATAATCAAATATTAACTTGGAGTTGATCATGTGTTTAGTTTAATTGAATCTGTCATTTCAACAGATTAGCTTAGTTTTGTATTGGCGGATAGACTTATGGACGCCCTAGTCAAACAACTACATAAGTTTTGCTAATATTCAATCCATTGGACTTCAAGCCCAAGCCAAGCCCGTAAAAAGGCCGTATAGTTTTTTGAGTTACCTCGTTGAACACTTGCAAATTGCAATAGACAACATCTCAGAATGTCAAAGGTGATGCAAGTAGAGCTAGGTAAAAGCAGGTGATTTTTTTGTCCTTTACTGTTGTTTTTGTTAGTTTTGCTTGCTTTTTGTTGTTACATCTAGCTATTGATACCTCAGGATTCAAATTAAAGTTCAAAGTTTGATAACCTAGTTTTACAACGGGTTTTCGTATAGATGTGTTGTCTTACTGTTCCAAAATCACGTCTTATGAGTATGATTTGCTGGACTCCGTTTGATCATAGTTACACCCTTTTTTTTCCAAAAAGAAATATCTACTAATGAAAAAAATTACCTAGAAAACTTGGACGTGTTAGAAGCTAAATCCAAAAACTAACAAGGTTGAATGTTCAGTAGTGTTCTCCAACTACTCTTAATGATAGTTTTCTTGTATTCAGAAAGATGGTATGGTACTGCTAAAATTAGTGCAATACTTACAGATAATATTATTCTTAGTTATATTATGGATGATTATGAATAATTTGAATAAATAATAGCGAAGAGTTAAGATCAACAAAGATCTGAGTCCAACGAAAAAATAGTTTAAACCAACACAGTATGCCCGTAAGAAATACTATAGTAATATTGTTGTCTATAATCTATTCGTCTTTAAGATTTGTTTTATTTGACAAGCTTGGAGATTCCTTTTTCATTGTACATCAATTGCAATATGCATATAATTGTGTAGCATGAATGGTATTCTTTACAAAAATAAACTATTAGAACATTGTTAGAGATTAGTTCATTTTGATGTAAAACCAATAGGTGTAGAATTACTTATTCTCTTAAAAATTTTGTTAATTTTATTTTCAATGTTAGGAGTTAGTTTTTACTAATTCTCTTTCTTAAATTTTAGGAGTATTTTATTCTTAAATTTATAAAAAGTATTTTCTTTTTAAACAGGACATGCATTCTTAGATAATGTCTTTTCATTTAAAACATGGGCCCGGTGCCTTCTTGCCCTGGAAACTATTAAATTTGTTCCCGCTTACCTCCTGGTATTTTATGATCTCACCTTGCCCTTAAACTATTAAATTCTTCCCTGCACTAGCCCTGAACTATTTTTAGTCCCACCTTATCATCAGGCTTATCACTTTTCTTTCATGAAACAATATAAAGCACCCAGATTAATAAATGAAAATGGGGTATAGTACTGAAAGTCAGAAAGTGATAGTTAAGGGAGTAAGTAGGGAAAATTTTAATATTGTAGGGGGCTGGGTGGGATAGAAAATAATTGAGGAGGTAAGCAGAGGACGAATTCTATAGTTTATGGGGAACATATGGACCAAAAATAGTTCGAGAAGTAAGAAGGAACAAATTTAATAGTTTACGGGGAAAGTAAAATCTGAAGCATCTACTCTTAGACAAACAATTTTTTCTTATCAATATAATTATTCTTAAGATCTTTCATTCTTAGAATTGACGTTATTATGTGCTGCTATTCTGCAGGATGTAATAACTATCTCATAACTCAGTGTCCCACTAAATATTTTTTATTTTTATTTTCCTTGTTTTCTTAATCTTCAGGAATATTATCAATGGCCTCACTGGATGGACTCTCTATCGATCTCTTGCAACTAATCCTTGAAAAGATAGATAATCACAGAGACAGCCTTCAGTTTGGTTCTGTTTGTAGGCAATTCCGCTCCATTATCTACGATAACCTTCACTTGCTTCCGCCTAAATTACCCTTCTGCCTCTGTGCCCATCCTAGCAAACCCCCTCCCCTACCATTGCTAATGCAATGTCTTGATGATGAGACGGAAAACATCAGCTTTTTTTCTATTTCAGATGGAAGAAATCATGGAGAGTTTATTGTGCCTGAAATAAGAAACAAGTGGATTGTTGGATCCTCTTACGGTTGGTTGTTCACAGTGGATATCCATGGCCGAGACATTCAGCTTTTGAATCCATTAACAAGGGCCCAAGTCAATCTCCCATCTCTAGATGCATTCCAACACCCTGATGGTGGTTTCACAAGCGGTGAATTCAATGATTTTGGGTTCGTAGAAAAGGCTGTTATATTGTCTGATCCTTCAAACAAGGGAAGAAATTTGGAGGGTAATGATGATTGCATATTAGCCGTGGCAATCATATCCAATTTACGCGTGCTATCATTTTGTAGGATTGGAGATGACAAGTGGACTAATGCGGAGGGTTCTCTGACTCACCTCCAAGATGTTATCTATTACGAGGGTCAAATTTATGGTATTAATTATATGGGGATAGCCGTTGTTTACGATATTGCAGGTGATAAAAAGATGAAACAAATTGCGAATGCACCAGACCAGTTGTTTGTTGTCGACAGATATCTTGTTGAGTCGACAAATGGTGACCTCCTGCAAGTTGTGAGAGAGATCGATTACAGATATGATGGAGATGTTGGAAAGACGAGTGAGTTTTATATATACAAGCTTGAATCTGTTGATGAGCCAATCGTGCCTGCTGAAGACAATTTCTACCTCACCGTCAATGAGAGAGTCCCAATTAGATACAAATTCAACTTTAAATGGGTCGATATGGAAAGCTTGGGTGATCAAGCTTTATTTTTGGGTCAAAACTATTCGCTTTGTGTACGAGCAGCAGAACATGAAGGATGCAAGCCAAATTGCATATATTTTACGGAGCATGGGTCGGGGCATAGATGCATTGCGCGGGGTAATTGTAAATCAGAAGATATCGATAAGTATTCAATTTGTGACATGGGCACATATGACTTGGGAGACGAAAGCTTTCAAGATTTTAGCCAAGTAAATGCCAAGCGCTTAGTTCCGCCTATTTGGATCTCACCAAATCCGTGGTAGATGGATTTAGTTGCGTTCAATGTTTTATTTTTGCTGCCCTTTGTATTTGAGATTTCTATTTATGTATTGTGGAGTGGAAGTGCATTGTTCTTGAGTATGTTCAGACTTTGGATTGTCGCCACTTAAACATGTATAAGAAGAAATTTTCAAAACCAACCCAAACCATGTTTTTATTTTCAAAACCGACTCACTTTTTTTTTTATCAAAATCGACACATTTTTTGCCACATCAGCTTAATCCCATTCTTAAGCAGCGGGGTTGGCAACCTCGACTATTTAGGAGGTTGTTAAACCCCAATTAGAAGCCTTAAACTCGGTTTTTGCTGTCCTAAATAGTCGGGGTAGGCAATCCCGACTAATTAGGAAATGAGATTAAGCTGACGTGGCAAAAAATGGATCGATTTTGATAAACAAAAAAAAGTGGGTTGGTTTTAAAAATAAAAACATAGTTTGGGTCGGTTTTGAAAATTTCTTCACATATATAAATCTTCCATATCAGAGCATGAATTGATATTAATGTACATCTCTTAGGGAATTGGTAATTTATCATAGTTGTTTTTCATATATATATATGACTTAAAATGTTTAAGGACAATATCTACATACTATTACTTAAAAAGTGTTATCCTTCAAAACGCTACTTGGCAAAATGGCACGTGGCAAATTCTTATTTTTTTTAATTTTCTTAAAAAAATTTGATTTATAAATTAAAACCGGTGCCACAATTAGAGCTTGATTCCAGTGTTTTCCCTTTCTTCATTTCCAAAGCTCCCCTCTTCGTATTCTCCTCCTAGAGAAAAACCCTCCGCCTCTTCGTATTCTCCTCCCCTTTTTTATTCTTTCTGATTCCTTGACCCAAAAAGCATCAAAGCTTCTCTCCCTCATGGAGTACAGAGCCTTTTTCCTCAAACCCTGCTCCTCCTCCTCCAAAATTCCCCAAGGGATCGAAGAGGCCGAGGATGCTGAGAGCACCGGCATTGATCCAAGCCCCCTCTTCGCCAAGAAGAAGAAGATGAAGCGAGAGATAATTGTTTTCAAAACAAAGCTAGGGCACAAAGTTGCTACCTCTTCTTCCTCTAGCTCTTTAGTCGGTTGTTCGCGAAGAAGGAGATGAGGGTCCTGATGGTGGGTCTCGATGCTGCCTAGGGCTGTCCATCCGGGCCGGCCCGGCCCGGGAAACCGGGCCCGGGCCGGGCAAAACCCAAGCCCGGACCCGGGCCCGGGCCTGAGCGGGCCGGACACCGGGCCGGCCCGGTTTGTTTTTTTTATAATTTTTTTTTATTTTTTAATTTTTTTAAAATTTTAACAAAACCATAAATCATAAATTATTATAAAAAATGTCATAAATTTAATTAATAACTTGAAATGAAATGACATAAATTACAAGTACAAAAAATAATAAAAATAACTTCTTTATTAATAATCGGTAAATCCTTTACAAGTATAAATTTATTTCGAAATTCATCGCATCACAATAGATGAGTACATCCCAACTAGGTTGGCACCTACTCACCCATATCACTATCATTTGCAACTTTTTTCGAAATAATTTAATTCAAATTTAAAGCTAAGAAATAAAAATTACAATTTTATGAATATTATCTAATCATTATATCTATCTGCTAGTCCCAACTCTTCAAATTTATCTTCAATCATAGCAATCCGTTCGATGCCTTGTGTTCGCTTCTCGTATCTCCACCAATCCTGTAAGCACATCACCGCTTGTACAGTATACGGATCTAAGCATGTCCTGTGGTCGTCGATCAAACGTCCTGCTGTGCTGAAAGCGGATTCCGAGGCTACAGTCGAAACCTGCACTGATAGTAAGTCACGAACCATGGTGGAAAGTATAGGATATGAAACTGATCCATATACTTTCCACCATTGCAAAATATCTAAAGCATTTCCTTGACATCTAACTAAAGAAGCAGAAAAATATTCATCTATTTCAGAAACATCTAATCCTGATGAAGTTCCAGATCCACCAGTTAGTTCAGCTACCATTGCATACCTATCAAAACTTACACTTTTACCTCGACCTGTGCTCGAAGCTGAAGGTGCCGAAGCTGAAGACTGTTGTGTAGCTACACCATATCTAGCTGCATACTCATCATATAAGGTTTGAAAATAATTTCTAATAGCTAAATAATGAGTAGTAGCAGTAAGGGTGGATCCATCATCTAAGTCTATAATCTGTCCACCATACAATGATTGTAACAAACTTCGAAGGCCAATTTCCTTCAAGCATGGATCAATAAGAACACCAATACCAAAAATATGAGGAATAGGCCTAAAATACTTATTAAATTTACTCTCCATTTGAAAAATTATATTTCCAAAAGTATCATCCATACGATATTTTGCAAAAAATTTTTGAATATTTAAAATTTGTAAAGCAGCTAAAGTAATAGTTGGATAATAACAACCAGATAATAACATAGTAGCATCATAAAAAACTTGTAACATCTCATTTAATTTACATATAACTGTCCATTCATCTTCAGTTATTCCATAAGCACTACCAGAGCTAGAACTAGAAGCATAAAAATTTATAAAATCATTTATAATTTCTTTATATTCTATTGCTACAGATAACATTGCATAGGTGGAATTCCACCTATGGTCAACATCTTTTGGAATTAGTCTAGGCTTATAATTTTTTCTTTTACAACATTGTTTCCATCTTTTAATTCTCATTTCAGAAGCATTATGCATATTAGTAACTGTTCTAACTTTTTCTATCATGGGTTTAATTTCAGAAAATGCACTTTGAACAATTAAATTTAAAATATGACAGATACATCTAACATGAAAAAGCTCACCATGACATGGCAATGACAAAGTTATTTTCAGAAAATCAACAGCTACATTATTATTACTTGCATTATCTAGTGAAAGAGTAAATATTCTTTGATCAATTTCTAGTTTCATAAGTTCTTCAACAATTAAATTTGCAACATTAATACCAGTGTGTGACTCTTCAATTGCAATAAAAGAAACAACTCTTTTAAACATTTTCCAACTTTCATCAATCCAGTGTGCTGTTATACATAAATAACCAGTTTGCACTCTAGATGACCAAATATCAGAAGTTAAAGAAAATTTGCAGTTTAAATTTTTAAAATAAGAAATTATTTTTCCCTGTTCCTCAACATAATATTTTAAAATATCACGTTGACAGGTTTGACGAGAAAATTTTGTAAATACAGGATAAAAACCATCTCTAAACAAATCTTCAAATTCATCATCTTCTACTAATTTAAAAGGAAGGTTTTTAAGAACAATAAACCTGATTACGCATTTCCGGGCTCGGGCAGCGTCATAATTCCAACTGCCGAGGGTACCTGAAGAGGATGATTGGGAAAGCATAGACTGCCGGATATCACCTTGTAGATTTTGGCCTTTGTTGTGTTTTTCAATATGCCGTTTGAGATGGTTGGTGCCGCTCTTATGATGAGCTTTGAATATCTGGCCGCACAACGCACATTTCGCATTCTGAGAGATGATCCTACCGTGTTCATCCTTGGTGACGTCTATCTTCTCAAAAAAATTCCATACATCAGACCTCGGCCTTTTTGGAGCTCTTGGTGCCGTAGATTCGTCGCCACCAGATTCAGGATTAACACCGGTAGGATGAGGAGTTGTTGTAGGAGGACTCATCTCTGGATCGGTAGGAGTTGCATGTTGCTCTTCATAATCAGACCCAGAAGCCATTTGTTGGAAGTATTAGAAAATACAAAAGATTATAGGATAGTATATTAGTATGAGATAGTATAAGATTGTATAAGAGAGTAGTAGAGAGAGAAATAGATGAGTTTTGTTGTGAGGAAATGAATTGAAACCCCCCCTCTATTTATAGAAGCAGCCCTTTAGGTAAATAACCAAAAAACCCTCGAAAAATAGCCGTTTTTTGACCGTTTTAAGGGGCAAAACGGTCAAAAGGTCAAATCTGGCCGTTAGGCCAGATTTGACCCGGGCCGGGTCGGGTCAGCCCGGCCCGGCCATTCGAAGCCCAGTGCCCAATTTGGGCACTGTTCCGGGCCTGGGCCGGGCCCGGACAGGGCTCGCCAACGGCGACCCGGGCCCGGGCCCGGGCCCGGGTTTTGCCAGGGTTTCCGGGCCCGGGCCGGACACCGGCCCTAATGCCGCCGGTAAAACCACGATCCTTTACAAGCTGAAGCTTGGAGAGATCGTCACCACAATCCCCACCATCGGTGAGCTTTTGGATCTGCTATTGTTTTCTGATTCATGATAAGAAGAAAGCATAATATGAGGCACCTAAAGCATAGAAAGTTATGAAAAATATGATTCAACATTGTTTTCTGATTCATGATAAGAAGAAAGCATAATACGAGGCACCTAAAGCATAGAAAATTATGAAAAGCATAATATGTAACTTTATGAAAAGTTTAATCTTTGGTAAGGTTTTCCATTCATTGAAGCACTTAGTGCTCCAATTAAGTCCAGGCTGTGCTAGGTGGATCTAATCTCGTGCTATCTTGCCTTTGGAATCATATATTGTCGTCATAAGCAGAAGCCAAACGAGCTGCTTTTGTCCCCTTACTTTGTTTCTTATTTCAGGGGTGAATTTAAAAAACTATTACGAGCGAGAAAATTGCCATAATCAACAAAACTGCAATTAGGATAATTTGTTACATGCTTTATACGTGACCCGGTCTGAATAATTATTTTTGGGGGTAATTACAGATTAGTCTCTTAAATCAATCTTAATCACTGGTTAGTCGCTTAAATCTCGGTATTTGCACATTAGTTCTTTAGATTTCCATTTATATTGCAATTTCATATTTAACACAGTATCATTTAAAACCTCATCGACTCATTTCACAACAGTTTTATCTATATTTTTAATTTACCTTTGCACAAAATTTGTTACATGCTTTATACGTGACCTGGTTTGAATAATTAATCTCTATCCATTAGAGATTCTATCATCATCAGTTAGAACAATAATGCAACTCCCCCTCCACATTTTAATTAGAGCTCACTTTATCTATCAATAAAATCTGCAAAGGTCCGATCGGAAAG